AAACAATAAAGGAGATTTCAATGAAATAAAAGATAATCTAATGTCACGTAATTCTTATGTATTATATATTGTCCATAATAAATAAACGTGTATAAAGGTATACCGAATAATAATAATAATAATAATAATAATAATAATAGTTATGCTAGACCTCATACCCCTATCAATAAAATGACGTAATAATATCGTCAATTAGAGAACAGTGACTTATCAACCAAACTAATAATGCCTAAAAACTCATACGAACAGTTTAGAGTTCTTATCAGTCCGTATCCTTATCTAGACCTGCCTGTTGAGTTCAGAACACTAATCTCAACCTCTGTGATATGTATCATGTATTGTAAACATACTTTGTTGATATACAAAAATCAAACAGACCACATTGTACTATAAAATAGGAAGCAATATTTGTATAAGATTTGATCAAAAAGTGGCTGTGAATGTGAGAGACTGTAATTAATTGATTGGGGCATAACTTAAGAACGGTAAATCGTATAATAATAGTCTATAGGTTAAAAATGCTTATAATAAGAGGAACATGAATATACATAGGTTACTTACTTAACAATTTACACAATAAAAATATATGTATCGTATTGGTTCATAAATAGTTCTCCACTGTTCTCATCGGGATATAACAGTTAAACATTCATTTAAAAACACGAAGTACAGTGAAAGGATCTCTTTTCAACGAATTTATTATCAAGCTGTACAATCGTATATACATGAAAATTCTTTTTCTTTAAAGTACTTGTTCCGTGAGGACATATGAACAAGGAGTAACCACAATGATGCAATCGAAAGATTACAACGCTAGATTGAGTAATATGGTTGATAACAACAGACTAAGTTAGTAACGAATTATAACGTGAATGTAGTAAAATGACTAAGATGTTTTTGATTGAGATCATGAACCAATTGATATTAGACCACCATTGAAAACCTGGAAGCATTCGCACGCGAGACTGAAGGCTCTGGGTGTTCGAATCCTGCGAGCGGGATCGTGGATGAGCACTGCCGAGGAGTTCCACAATAGGACGAAACGGCCGTCCTGTGCTTCCAGGTTCTCAATGGTGGTCTAACATCAATCGGTTCATGATCCCAATCAAAAACTTATTAATCTCCACCACCTCTATACTGATAAAATGCTTTTGTTACAGTAATTAAAGGTCATCAAAGGTCATAGAAGTGTAAAACAAATAATAAAGTTATGGGAGGCAAAATCCGACTCACATGTCCGCGTCATGCCTCCTGGATAATGAGATGAGTGACTCATGAACCAACGTGAGCGGTAACCCGGGTGGTGGAGATCAAGATAATCACCCACTCTTACCTATACCCACCAATCGATTACAAACTCCACAGATAAACATAGCACAATTACATTTGGAATGGAAAACGACAAAAATATTTCGAAAGTGGTACATGTATCATATGGAGTTGCTCGTCATTGGGAAAACTCCAAAGGATTGCAGAAACAACTATTCTAGGCCCGGTAGTTGTGCCGTGCTTTGATGTGGCCTGTTTCTCACTAGAAGGGCCTACTAGGCTTCACCAACTGGAAGGGGCAAATAAAGTGATATGATGACTACTTATGAATAAAATATTGGGAATGTGAGGCATTAGTAAAGGGGGAATGCAGTAATAATAATAATTAAGGCCAAGTTAACGATAACGATAGGACGTTCTTTTTTACGCATAGTTCCGCCTTTAGCTCATGGATTTGCCTAGTAAATATTAGAAAATTTAGTACAATAAACTGAAATCAATAGTTGAAATCATGAGTCAATTTAAGCAAGACCACCAGGGAAAACCCGGAAGCACTGAATGACTGTTTCGTCCTATTGCGGGACTCCTCAGCAGTGAGCACGCACGACCCCGCCACGCAGGATTCGAACCCTGAACCTATCAGTCTCACATTTGAAAATAAACTTTGAATACAAACTGATTGAAAATATGAGATTAGGTTTATTTCTCTTACCTGATTTTTTTAAAAATGAATCGTTTCGTCTTAATTACCATTAAAATTAATTGTTTCTTTAAAATTTGAATTAGTCATTTTTTTGATAACTGAAAGAAATGTAACGGGTTAGAAACTCTACACTATCTGTATCGAGATTTTATTCATTAATTTAAACACATAAACATTGGGACAAGGAGGCACCAAACAGATATGCGACACATAAACCATTCGATTTATGTGAAAGCTGGAATACTGCCCCGGTTCCCAAATCGAAACACGTGGTTTTCTTAAGGGCCGCGCCACGGGCCTTTGACCTAATAGTCTCATTTATTTATTATTTATTTTAACACATAGATATTGGTACAAGGGGGAACCAAATACATATGCGCCACACAGATCTCATTTTATATGTGTGAGGGCTGCGATACTGCCCGGGTGCCCAAACCGAAGTAGGTAGTTTTCTTAGGACGCCCCCTTCCCAGAGCCTTTGACTTGAAGGTCTGATCCATAAGGCAGTAGAGCATTGTAAGGAGATGCAGTCACATGGTAGACGGTGACCAACGAATGGTTCATATGCCATTTGTTCCATCAGGATCGTGGAGCCCATGTGCACCATTGGTTTGGAATAAGGGTTTTCCAACTCCCCTAGGTAGACTCTCCACATCCACCGACCCAGTTAAAGCGCCAGGCATTCGCTTTCCGTCCTCTTAATTTCATAAACAACACCCCCGCCATGAGAAGGCAGTGAGTAGGACTTCCTTGAAAGTGGCTGTATACGCGTGGCCATGTGAGGGCATTTGGAGAGGGAGAGCTGACTCTACCCACTCTCGGCAGTACCAGGGCATTTGGGGGCGCACCGAGTTTAGATTTCCAGATTGTTTTAATCTCAATATTACGTTACTGTTGATTGTTATCTGTTGCTTTCCATATTAAATGTAAGTGTATTTTATAAGTTTTCTAGGTTGTGTTAATCTTCTTTCTCTAATTCAATTCTCCTCACTAATGCTATTCTGAGTATTCCCCTAGTACACAAATTAACTTCTGGTTAAACGAGAATTGCTAAAGAGGATCAACAAAAATGCAATGATGTAATTTATCAAAATGTAATTGGTGTTTGTTGAAAAATCAAGTGTATCAGAATGCATAATTCAATTTACAATATTTGATTAATTGATATCAGTATGATGATTTTAAGTAAGTTTCTTAATTTATACGAATTTAACCATTAATCAAAACATAATAAATCAAGATAGTTAGTAAGTTGTAAATGTATTTTTCATATCAAATGAGATCTACATCTAACTATTTGTCTCTTCTTTACTTACATTAAGTTGCTACCTTGACGTGGTGGTCGGAGCTAACACGAAAATTACTCATAAAATGGTCGTGTGTGACCGACCTCAATTAGTTGTTCCTTGGGCACTGAGGTCACGCTTTCAGGTCATTAAGACCACCTTCAAATAATCAGAGATAAGTCATAACTCTGTATATGAGTTCATCATTAAACAGTGGATAACAAATTACAATGAAAGAAACTCAATACACATCATTAAGGGAGAAATACATTTAAGAGGAAATAAACCATTCCGACGATATTAATTTACTGATTCTGTACAATTGTATACACGACTGACGGGTACGAAGGGTCTCGCAAGATCATGGATTGATTGATCTTTAAGTGTTCGCACACGAGACTGAAGGTCCTGGACTCGAATCCCTCGTGCGGGATCGTGGATGCGCGCCGATGAGTAATTCCATACTGGGATGGAACTGTCGTCTCGAGATTCCAGATTTTCAATGGTGGTTTGGCTTAGATCGACTCATGAATCTAACTTTGAGAATACGAAAGCGTAGAATTGGTTTTTGAAGCTTAACTAATTAGTTTTAAGGGATACTAACAAGCTGTTTCCATTCTATAATGGAAGTGAACTATCACCTAGCAACATATATTCAATCTAACTGTTGGACTTATAAAAAAAACGAAGGAGCTGCAATCGATTTATCTATATCATGAAATAATAGGAATGACAAAGCTAGGACGAAGTTACAGTTCCGTCTAACATTTAATTAAAGATTTGGATGCGTTCTGTAAATAACATATTTGTTATCCTCCCGTTTTTCTTTTGAAGTAGGCTAAAGTAAGATAATCTTGAAATTACAAATGACTGAAAAATTCTTACAAAACAAATGAGACCTGTGTGAACTAGAAAGACTGGGCGACATATACGCTACAACACTTTAAAATTAATAATTCCCAAACGAATGAGAGAAGACTGAGCTTTCAGGATGGTTATCACATCAGCAACACAAGTCAAAATTGTGGTGAAATAACACTGTCCGTACAGCAACAAGAGTGCTTTCCAGGCACATCACAAAAGTAGCAAACTAGAAGCAAGAACAATCAATTATATAACTGAAAGTCACTGGGGAAATCAAGATTAGGGGTTATTTCAGTTGCCCTAACACATGAAGACTAAACTTTTTAAAAGAGAAACTAGATAACTTAAAGTCTTCACGGCACTTCTGAAGAGTTTAAATTGGAATCACTAATAAGTTGGACAGTAACATATTTGATGACCGCAACTTTACAAAAGAAGAATAGAGAAATGAGATCCCATTCTCGGATTTATTAATCTGTAAATTAAACACATAAGTATAAGAATCACAAGTATACAGGAAGCCAAGTTATATAGAACAACATGAGCAACCTACAGAACAAATTGTACTAACTGCGAGAAACAATATATTAAACAAAGTAAATGATCCCTTTACCTACGTACACGCAGACGCAGATTGAAGGTGGCAAGACACGATATGCTGTTGCTTATTTCAATGCATCCACAAAACCGTGGAAAAACGTACAGTTGAGAAAATATAGAAATCCGCTATGAAGGAAATCCCGGTAGCATTGCTTTGTATCAATGTAAACATCCAACACAGAGAAACATTCTACACATGAAATTACGACTGTAACTAGTGGATATGATGATTTTAAATAAAAGTGATAAACTACTTATTAGTAAACAAAATATTCCCAAAACAATTTCGCACAAGACTCAGGACTTCTACAAATTCATCAATAGTTCACAAATCCATCTATTCAAATTTAAACTGCACTGTTCTACGTGGGACCTATTGACATTATCCATAGAAATAAGATAGATCTGAACCTAAAATCTAATCATTAAAAGTTAAATACACCGGTAATAAATCACCGATCCATGTGTTGAAATTGCTAAACAAAGACCACCCCAGTTGTTACTACGGTCCATCTTCATAGAAGTAAGTCATTGAACAACATTTAAATTCACCATTCATAAATTATAAGCCTCATTACTGAATAATTGAATCAGAGTAACACAAACAAAAATTGAACAAGCGAATATATTGAATAAGTCACATCTGTCTGTAAAAAAAACAACAAACGTAACCACATAAAAGATGATTTTTACTTAAACCGTGCAAACGTTTCACATTATATATCACTCATACCAAACACAGTACTACTACTGAATTAGTGATACTAATATCGTACAAAACGCCAAATGGGTTTAAAACAAAAAAGACAAGAAATCAAAAAGAGAAAGATCATTGGCTTAGTTACCATTACAAGTGATTAGAATTTATAGATGTGTGCATCTTTAATTCCTACTATATAAAGATTACATAGCGAAATCAAGATAGATATATATAGTAAATGAAAGAGATTTCTTCAGATTGAAAATAAATTATACATTATTTTGAATTAAAGAAAGAATAGGGGGAAAAAACAATTTTTATTCAATCAAAAACAAACAAACAAAAGAGCCAAGAAATGAATAGTTACAGTATACAAACAAGATAAGATAAATGACCTTGATCACACTTCTAAACAAAACAAAAACAAAAAAAAGATTGGGAGAATTTAAATTATCAAGTAATTGAATCTAAGAATTTTTACGGCTTCTTCGATTGTGACCATTGTTTTCAAGTTTGGAATCACGTCGTACAACTGATTCATTAGTTAGTGTTGTCCTAGAATTACCACCATCAGCAGTTGTAGTAGACCAACCATCATCATCAATCGATCCCCATCCACGATCATTGCTTAAATCCCAATCACAGGTTTCATTGTTATTCCAATTGGTATTCGACAATGAAGCCCCTAAACATTAATATGAAGGATATTTATTTGTTTAAATGATTATTCTTTTTAAGGTAACCTATTTCAAATAGCTTACATAGTTTATCTACTGAATACATGGACTGATCTATATGAAATACTAACTATGGATCTAATTAAACATTGAATTGAAATCATAGAACAAAGCATGGAAAGCAATGTATGAGACTCAAACACTAAAAAGCCTATAAACAAGTAATGCTACTTATCGTTTTTAACATTTATGACAGAGTTCACCATGAATCTATTCCTAAGGAACAAACAACGAATACTGCCTTCTATGTTGAGGTTTTCAAGCGTATGAGCAGCTTTTCGAGTAATATATAACGAATGGCTGCCGCAAGAAGACATTTTACTGAAAAACTAAGTAACGATATAGAAGACGACAAGATGTAAAATGGCAAGGTAACTGATGAGTCTGATTTTTGAGGATTTATAGTAGGGGGAGATGTTTAAAACAATGGAAACGAAGATGGCTCAAGTGTGTTTCTCACAAATAAGGTGTATTTTGAATGAGATAAGGTCAACCTAGTCCGAAAATCATTAAATACAGTAGTTATAATCTGGCGCTGCATTTCTTAAAGAACTACATATAAGGCAAAAAGTACTCATTAGAATGCTGATTAATCAATCACGCACATCCATGAATACATTACAAGATGATGTTTAAAAAAATAATAATGAAAGACATACGGATCTTTTCCACTCGCTAAGTAATATAATGCACTGATGAGCAGTGCATACCCTTTAACATATAGTCTAATATATTGCTTGGATCATAGATGGAGTGAGCTATTGAAAGTCAAATAAACCCTTTTGCATTTTTTTTTTCATGAAATTTTGTCGATTATAAATATAGGTCCTGGGTTCGAATCTCGCGGAGTGCGGGATCGTGGATGCGCACTGCCACTGAGGAGTCCCATACTAGGACGAAACGGCCGTCCAATGCTTCCAGGTTTTCCATGGCGGCCTAACTTCAATTGACTCATCATTTCAATTGTTGAGAATATAAATTCATCAATTTATATGTTTTCGGTTTCATTACAATTATCACAGATATGTTTACGAATGATACTTTAATTATTATTAGTCAAAACTAATGAACATATTACGTTATTTATTTATAAATTAACACAACCCATATACTGATAGAAATGTTAAGTAATAATCGAAGTACACAGTACAATATCTTCCAGTTGATCCTATACAATTATCCTTCACATCAAACAATAAACTGTCATTATTACTATTTGGAATAATTAACAAGTATTAATATTATCAATAACTAACACTGAAAATTCAAATAATCCAATCTCTTGCAAGTATGACATAAGTTGACAAAAGTTGCTAAGGCAACTCCATGCAAAATAGGTCCCTAAGTGTATGTAATGATGAAGTCTCTGAAAAATATATATATGAGCTTGGCAACAGCAAAAAGCTGGGATTACGCGGTTATAGTTGTGCGATGACAGATAGAAATAGTCGGGTATGAAATAGTTGAATCGTGTTTTCGCCTCGTTAGGAGATACCAAAAGCTCTTCTGTGAAACCACCCATTTCCTCTTTTTCTTTAATTGCGTATGTTGGGAGGAATACGAATAAAACGCTATGGTTGTAGCTGACAGTAGCTGCTACCTTGAAGTGATAGTCGGGTTTGCCTATTGTAATCAACCAATCGAGATAGACTAACTGGAACACTTGTTCTTTTAGGATCCTACTATCCCAGGCAGGTCGGTTGGAGATCGGTAAAACTAAAATTACAAACTTAAGGTTCGAGAGTGAGTTCATACTGCTGACTGTACAGAGGTGTGACAGAATTAAGGTGTTTTCGATGGACAACAGGAATCTGCGACAATGGAGCTTTCTCACAATAGAAGGAAGGAGGCGGGAATGTTAAACCTCACCTTACCATAGAGGTTTTTCTCTGATAATAAGACAGTTTGAAGTACGTCGCTAACACACATTACAAACTTGTCATGAAAAGGTGTTGTGGATGCGGAGGAATAGACCAATAATTATCATGTTAAGTCCAATGGTGTCCTTGGACGTTAAATGGACATTTCCTATTGGTCGATATCTGTTTACTTGTTGAATATTGTACAAAATGTTGTTTTCTATTTTATGGTACGATGTGGTATGCTTGATTGGTATATAAACAAAGTATGTTTGAAATATAATGATTCATATCTCAGAGGTTGTGACTTGTGTTCTGGACTCAACTGACTGGGCTAGACAGGGAAGCGGGACCAATCGAGACTCTAGGCCGTCCACTACGTGTTTGCGTGTCACTGTGATCGATCGATAACACAGGGTAAAAATCGACCCAATTTAAAGTCATAACAAAAGGTCGTGTTATCGGCCATGAGAAGTCGTCCCTTGAAATCTAGGGTCACGTCCCCGGGCCAGTGACCTACAGGCTAATTTACTCCGATTCCCCATTACATTCTATCATTTTTATTTTCTGTTCACATTCCAAATATAACTATATTAATATATCACATAGAAAATATATTCATACAACTAGTAGTCTTGTCAGTCATCCCTAATTATTCGGCGAATTCTGTCAATAATACAGTCTCGTAACTAACCATCACTTAGCCACACATCATATCATTGTGTTCATCCATAAATAACCACTCTACACAGTGAATTTATCAACTGAAATCCCGTTTCAATAGTTGTCAAAAACCTCGTCCATAACACACAGTTGCACACGAAACATTGTTCATTTTGAATGTGAACGAAAAAGCATTACCTTTTCCTTCACTTCTATTAAACGAATCGGTTCCATGTTGTAGGTGTCGATCAAGAAACATTGAACTGGAACGATCTTGTTCACGATTACTAGCATAGAATGATTAAAAGAAATATAAGAATTCAAATAAATCAACAATTCTTGATCGAGATATTTATGTCGATCAATTGGCGTCAATCTAATTCACTGATCGATATTAACTGGAGGACCTATTACATTTGAAGGAAGTGAGGAGGGAGAATAATTGGGTAAAATGGAACTTACAGAAATCGTTCATGAAGATATATATAGGCGTCTATTTATTAAATACTTGAATCCTGGTATTTTTATATTACTTTTATTATCAGGTATCATTTCATTCATAAACTACTGTAATACACTTTAATGTTCAAAATTACTAATTAATTGTACACTTATTTCTTAGTTTTATGGTATATGTGATTTAGTTGTGCACAAATTATGATGCCTTATTTGTGACATATTGTGAACAAGTAATTGATCTATGTAATTCTTTGAGCTTTTATTTCATGACAACCACACAACACTGGGAGGTAAGTGTAATTGACATCTTCATATCCTGATTGTTTACTAGGGATTAAAAAAAAGCTGTTTAGATCAGTAAAGAGTAAAGATTTTCAGTTATTGTTCAAAGACATGCGTTATTAGTTCAAGAGAGAACATATTATTAATGGATTCGATAATATAATGATCATATTCAACGGATATAAAGAAATTGAACTATCAAAGACTAAATAACATTGAAGAAAGTTGCCATGTCTTAAACTTTGGACTCTTTACAACGGTACAAGCCTATAATCCACACCAGGGTACAAACCAAGGAAAATTGAATATATAAAACAAAATAAGATGAATAACTATGTAAACAAGCTAATTCGAAAGTAAACCACTGGAATTCATCAATAATTATACATCATCAATAGTAATAAGTTACATTAGTCACCTAGGTAACACAACCGGTAGTAGTATTATGCGCAATCGATTTAACTTCATTAGTGTGATTATTCAGTTAAAGCAGATAAACTGTTCGAATCCAATCAATTCTACTAAAATGGTTTTAGTCGCTCTCGGAAATTCCACAAATTATAAATGCTAAGTAATAACTTCTTCTCTTCGTTTCCCTTATATCTCATAGATTATTACTTATTACTACATATAAAAACTATTACATAATTAATTAATTAATTTTGTAAAACGTGATAAATCTTTTAATCGAACGCTTGATTCGGTTTCCTAAGCTCTTCTAGTGACCACCAGGCTAAATCTACAATGCAACTTGAACACGAGAGAAAAAGTATAAAATATGGGAAGAACGCTTTACTTCAAGGTTAATTTATATACAGAAAATCTAGGGTATTTATAGCATTTCAGATGGCCTTAGACTTCTGGAACCCCTTCTAAACATAGTAGCAGGATAAGTAATCGTCCAATCAGAAACGTGACACGTGACTTTTCACTTTCTAAATCTTTCTGAGAAACTGCTATTGAATATTGATTGTATAAAATGTGTACCAGAGTTTTCAAGGCTCCTTTGAGCTTTTTTCGAGGAATTCACTGGGTTTCCCTAAAAAAAACCACTATTTTACTACAGACTAGTACAAGTAGGAAAAACTACCTATAAATACCATTCTACATATTCAGAAAACAGTATCATCAAGAAGAAAATTTACTTCGCTGAAAATGTCTTGATTCTTGTTAAATAAGTTTTCCTGAAGTTAAAATGATTCATATCAGAAGGGGCTTTCGTGGATATTATAGTAATTTCAATAGCTGAGATCCGCGATATTAATCAACATATGCTCACCAGTGACTCGCTTCAAGGGGTATTTCCTGGAATTCTAGAGAGAAGCAGTGACCAGTGGAGTTCAACCGAGTCAGTTGTGAGATAGTAACTCACTGAAGACAATGGTGGATGTGTCACTCAATTTCGTGGATTGGTTGAAGTTAGATATTAACACTATTGGATACCAGCTGGTTCAATGGTCTAGAGGTTAAGCATTCGTGCGTGAAACTGATGGGTCCTGGGTTCGGATCTCGCGAGGCGGGGTGGTGGATGCGTACTGCTGAGGAGCCCCACAATAGGACAAAGCGGCCATCCAGTGCTTCCAGGTTTTCCATGATAGTCTAGATTCAATTAACTCATGATCTCAACTAATGAAATTAAGATGATTTAAACAATTTTTATTGTCAATATCTATGAATTATATTATAAGACGATCATACGGATATTTGATTTTATCAGAGGATTAAAGGTTATTTTGAAAATAATTCTTATTATTAAAGATTAGCAACGATAAATCGTTCAGCAGTGGTCTATACAGATGTTTGATTTATTGGGGAAACGTGAAAGCTATGCGTTCAACTGATCTTAGTACATCGTGAGAAATATCTTCTTAACATTAAAAAGTAATATTGTCTGATCTCCACCGTCTATGGCTATCAACAAATTAGTTATTACTTATAGAATGAAGATGATCCGACACATATATTCATACCACATCGATATTGATAAAAACACTGTGAAACCTATACATACACTAAGTCTTGAAGAAAATAATAGCCAGTATCAAATCATACAGTCAAACAGTCTCCTATAATTACATAATGTTCTAGGGAATTATAAACCACCTAACTATTAAATAATAGAAATTTAAACGTCTGAATCGACAATCTATTACTTTACTCACTATAATGCACTAAACAGGTAGATATTGATGTGTTAGACTGAAACTTGTATACTTCTATCATATTTATGATAACAGTAAACTATAATGGAGTAGATATAATGTAAAATTCAACTTAGAACTAAATAGTGGAGACTGTTGAATTTCAGTGAAGTCAGTAACCGATAAAAATTAGACTTGTACACCATTGGACGTCGGTTCAGTGATCTTGAGGTTAAGCGTTTGCACGTGAGATCGAAGGTTCTGGGTTCGATTTATTGTTGTAGGGTAGTAAAGGTTCACTGCTAAGTCTCATACTAAAACGAAACTGTAGTCTAGTGCTTCAAAGTTTCTAACGGTTGTCTAAATTAAATCGGTTCAAGAAATCAATAAAAATTATAACTAAGTAGTTGTTCGCTGGGTGTTTATAATAGATAATCAGTGGGGTTGAAAGAGTAAAAGATGGTCAGAAGGTGACACCACCCCACAAAGATATTGACTGTTAGATTGAGCTGTGTTGATACATATAGACTACCTGATTGAGGTTCACATCATCGCGATCGATAGTTGGAAAAATTGGATGGTATAACACGAAACCAATCACAATGTCACAGATGCATTCACTCTGCCTTAAAATACTTAAACTTTTTATACTGCAAATTTATTCTTTCCGTCCGAATAATTCTTTCTACTGCCACTGGTACTGTTATTGTTACTAATCTGGTATTTGTTTTCATAATTTTGCTTTATAATATTGGTATGACAACTTGAACCGATGTACATGTGTCAGATTCTATATTGATTGTGATTGTATGAATGATTTTCATAACAAATCCAGCAACTACTTTCAAATAGTAAATTACATGTTAATGTGATACACTCTTAGTTTTACTCAGAATAGATCGATGGTATCCACACTAACCTATGCTTTTAAGTGATAACATTCACATTCGACTGTACATACATGAATTAGATTGTTAAAACCTACTTGAAGAGAGTAGACCCATATGATTTGTCAAAATTTCCGGTAGACAGATCTGATTCAGGATTGCTGGTCCAATATGATTCAAAACTTCTAATTCCTTGCGCTTTCACTGTTTGCAACTAGAAAAGTGTATAAAATAATTATTTATATTAAAATTATAACATAATTAACCTGGATCTAATGAAATAGTTGAAGAAAAGAAACTCATTGACGATAGACATATCAATAAAACTTTTCGTAAAAAAACATGATTGATCGTAAGATGAGGTCGCATTAAGAATTTTATAATGCGCATTGCCGTCAATCACTTCCGTTATTACAGAAAGATCCTTGAACTAGTTCCTGTTTACAAAATTTGCACTCGGTCGAACGGGCTAGAATTTTCAAAATTAAAATGCTTTGATCAATTCCTCCCTCCATCAACAATATGGTTAATGGTTCTAATACCTCAATGGTAATATCCCTAACTGCAACACCATTGATTACCTATACTACACATCAATAAATTTTCTATGTCGGTTAGGTCACAGAAGTAATTTTACTTAACCTTAATAGGCTACAAACTAGCTGTCATCGCGTTTCTTTGATTTTAATTTCGTGCGAACAATTAAACGTTGCTATCTTGAAACTGATTGGTTTTTTTAGTACATTTTAGGTGTTTTACCACTTAAATTATTCTTTTTACAACAGGTAAAACTTACAGTTACATGTATATATCAGCATTTCGGTATGATTGAGTAACACTTAATAGCATGAACTACAAAAAATACTGAATAATAACTTCATTCTATTTAGTCTGTTCACTTTTAATCGTTTGACAGATCACGTAATTTTAAACAACAAAAAAGTATAGAGATTAAGCACTTGCGCACAAGACTGAAGGTCTTAGGTTCAATTAACGGTCGCAGAGTTGTGGACGTCTACTGCTGAGGAGCCCCACATTAGGACAAAATGGTTATCTAATGCTTTTAGGATTTGAGTGGTGGTCTAGCTAAGAAAAGTTCATGATTTCAACTGTGAAAAAGGGGGCACAAATTTACTCTATTTTTACAATGAGTAGTTAAAATTATCGACCTATGATTAATACAGAGGCATACAATCAAATTTTTAGCTCAATTGTAAAGGCAATTTTCAAGTTATCATGCAGCATACAACTTTATGGCCTAAAAGTGACCACAATAATAAAATTATACACACATATATCCTGACCTTAGAACACATGCATATTAATAAAACAGACTACTTACTAACCTTTGAGGTAACAGTATCAACACCTTTTGATAATGAATCCAAAATATTGCTATCTTTAACCTTTTTTTAAATACAAAAAATTCAACAAGAAATGGACAACATTGATTATTTGACAAAGACGGTGACGACGACTACAATTACAATAACGACAAGTGTTATTAAAACATTCAAAAACACCAGTAGTTTTGATAGTCAACTTATTCAGTCTGCATTATTTCCCTGTGGTTATTATTTCAAATTAGTTTTGAAAGTAAGATTTAGCAAGTAACCAAATATAAACACTTGAGTACATAAAGGCACTTGGAAATGTACGCTTTTGTATCAAGGTAATTGAACAAGTGTTATTTTATTTATTTGAACACATAAACATTGGTACAAGGAGACACCAAATACATATGCACCATACAGTAACAATAAGGCCGGTAGTAGTTATCACTGATTTGTTTGAAGGCTGTGATATTGCACAGGTGTTCAAACCGAAGCAGTTAGTTTCCTTAGGGGGCCACTCACCAAACCTTTGACCTGAAGGTCTAATCCACAAGGCAGTCGAGCAGCGTTAGGGGATGCAGTCCCATGGTAGCCGGTGACAAACAATAGGTTAATACGCTATTTGTCCTTTTAAGATCCTGGAGCCCATGTTCACCATTGGTTTGGAACGGCCAGGTGTATCCTCCATATCCACCAACCCGGTTAAAGCTCCGGACATTTGCTTCTCGTTCCCTCAATTTTGTAAACAACAGCCCAACCATAAGAAGGCAGTGTGAACAATAGTACACCTCAAATAGTTAATTTAATAGATGAAAAAGAAAAACGTTTGAACCTTAGAACAAGTTATTTACTCTCTCATAAAATATTATTACATAAAACTGTTATACACAAATTGACAAACAAACATTTATTTTTTCATAAAAGATAATCCACAATGTACAAACTAGTACGTATCACTTGTAGCTCAATCATTTATACACTTGAAATTTAATCGTTGTAACACAGATTTTAATTTTATAACTAAAGTTCAAACAGTCAGATAGTATGGTAAATTTACATTCAATGACTATAGATCTACAACTTGATGCCTTATACCAGAAAAGGACAACTTAACTAAACTATTATTATTATTATTATTATTATTTCTTTGCTTGATTTATTTTCCCCTGGACAAATATTGAAATGTGTATTGTTCAATGTTAATTACATAAATCTTATATTTAATAATTCAACTAAGAAGTGATGAGATAGATTTATTACATAATATACATTATTTGTAGGTATTTTGTTGATTAATTTTTTATCAGAAGGGGTTTGTGGAGATTTTAGAAATTTCACAGATTGAAATCATGAGTCAATTGAAGATGGACCACCATGAAAAACCTGGAAGCACTGGACGGCCATTTCGTCCTGATATGGGACTCCTCAGCAGTACGCATCCACGATCCCGCACCCCGCGAGATTCGAACCCAGAACATATCAGTCTTGCGCCAGGCGCGAAACGACCGTCCAGTGCTTCCAGGTTTTCCATAGTGGTCTAGCTTCCATTGACTCATAATTTCAATCTGTGATATTAATTTTTTTATTCCAGTATTAAATGAATGATACATGGAAATATGACGACGACAACAACAACAACAACAACAACAAAAATAAAAAAAACTTAAACAATAACAACGACAATAAAGAATATGAAATGTACAATAAACAAACCAGACTACAGGTTACAATTGGGAAATTAAAAAGTATCAAAGAAAAAATATTTACGTACAATTTCGATCAAATTCATTTTAATCTGTTACTTGCGTACGGGTGTGTGTGTGTGTGTACTATGTATTGTAAACTATGAAACCATATTATTATTATTATTATTATTATTATTATTATTATTATTATTATTATTATTATTATTATTATGCATAAAACAATATAATTTTATGAGACTTTTTCAGTATAGTTATTTTTGTGACTCACTTTTTCCTGAACGGATTGAGTTAATTCTTTGGTTTTTTGTGTTGCTTGAGATGCTAATTGACTGGTACATTTAGCAGCTACTGAGGCCACTTGACTAACCATTGCCCAACCCTAAAATTACAAATTCAAAAATTAACAAGTAAATTAAGAATAAAATATAGAATTATTTTTATTTCAAACATTAGAATTCAGTGTTGTTATGCCTTTGGTTTGTTTGCTGCTTATTGCTTAATTTGTCCTTTAGTTACAATATACTGCTTTTAACGATAACACTATAACACTATAAGGGGTTTGTGAAGATAGTTGAACTTCATAGTTTATATTACAGACTAATGTTAACTAAGGTGTCAGGATGAAACAGTTATCCACTATTTCGTGATTTTCAATGGTTGTCAGGAATAATAATAATTATATGTTCATTAAAGTAATCCCTAGATTTTTAGTGAGATGCTGTGAACAATGGAGTGAGTGAAGGTTGAAGGTAGTTATCCACTAATGCCACTGGAAAATTAGACACGTAAACAACTGGATCTCAACTGAATAGTCACAAGATAAAGTGCTCATAATAAGGGTCTCGAGTTCGACACCTAATGAGGTCGTGAATGCCCATACTAGGACGAAACACTTATCGATTGCTTCCTGATTTTTAATAGGAGACTGATTAAGATCAGTTCATAATGTGAACTATAAAACAAAATAATGACTTTCAACACAAATCAGTGAAAAAAATTGTAGAAAACAACAAACATGAACTAGAATATTATAGTAGTACGTGAAAACTAAGTAAATAAAACGAAGGAATCAGAAATGACGGCTTTCAAAACAACACCACAATTACAAAAAGTAACGCAACAACTTACTGTTAAAATAATATAATTAGTCTCCTGTGTATCTTTTAGATATTATGTCGGACTACTTAACGGTAATAAGTAGTCTAGACTACGTTACATGGTTTCTACGGCCCAATTATTGAAGCGAATGCCATTGTTTTGTTGCAACCAATCATTTATCTTTCTATATCAATAATTTGATGTACAATCTGATTTACGATAACATTGTTTTTCTTCTTACTACTTATACTTTGTGATACGATTTTTATCATGAACTGTGTCTATTATTTTTTAAACATAAACCATTATCTTCGAAAATTGATGACGTTGTAGCTATATATACAAAGATTAGTAGAGCATTTTCAATTTCTTAGACTCATCTTTAATTGTACTCTTTACGACATAGACTATACCCAGATATCTAATAATCTGGTGTGTGTAAATTCTCAATGCCCATTCCACCCTCCATAATAGACAGATTTCGCCTTTTGGTTTCAGGATTTTTACACAAAACTCGGTCATTGGAGTTAGGAATCTGTGTAAGAACGACACACTAGTTATATGCATTTACTTACATTGTTAATAAACAATGGAGATAAATCTAGTTGAAGTCAGTCAGCCGGTTACCACCAACGTAGAGCCTGGTATACACATGCATATCAATCGAAATGCCCCACCACTTAAGCACAGTGAAATTAATTTTTCAAAACAAATATCAAAGTAGTAGAAGTAGCGACAGTATCAGTGACAGTAGGAAACATTAGGCATAAACGATATGATTTTAGAATAATGAATTACTTAGAGGGAAAGTAGTACAAAACAATTTTGAAATTCAGGATTAATAGGTAAATAACGAGTAAATGCATTCTCATTATTGTGACCGACTTCGAGTAATGTTACCCAAAGTCCCTAACTATTGGTCACGATAGACACGTAGACCATAACCAGGTAGTTTGCACCTACCAACACAGCTGACTCTTATAATCAATGACATAATAGACTGATGTCACACCTTGGTTCGGCTCCCACTAAGCTTCCTTCTAAATTACTCCTACAGAACAAATGTTGCACATACGTAATATATGTCCCAGCTATCTTAGCCAATAATGATTTGTAGCCTCACCAACCAATTCCCCACCTTTATCTAGCATCTTCTGCATAATTTCAATGTCGTACATTTGATGGTTCCCATATACACGAGCGATGTTTCGAAAGCATATATGACCAAATGTTAGTAAACTATCTGTTATAATCTCTTTCTTCTTACGGTTATGACCCAGATATTCCTATTGCTTAGTATTCTCGGACACCGATTCACTCGACAAGTCCCCAAATCAAAACACGGTTGAACAGGAAGAGATTATATTCCAAATAACAAGGTTAGATGGAAGTCAGAAGCACAATAGGGAAAACGTCAGTATATTTATAGTTTTTACATAAGAAGATTCTAGAGTCTTCTCCAACTATCGACCAGTGCTGATTGGATAAGAATTAGCCAATCAGCGTGCACCAAAGCAATCATGCATTGAGCATGCTTCAATCCGGTCTATGTCCCGCTAACACTATCCTTTATTTTTTAAAAAGATCACGTTTCGTAGACATAAACTAGAACAGAGCGAACTGCTGACCAATAGACTCGTCCTTTGGTTGCCAAATAAATATCTCGTGTCCTGATTTCCTGTGACATCAATCCACCAGGGCTAATAAAACTTTCAAGATAAGTGACGTAGTCGATGAGCCTAACTACTTTACACCCGAACCCTAGTAGTTGAGGCGTTGATACAGATCGGTCCTAGGGAGGAAATTTTGCATTTTAAGACGAACGCACCGCACTGGCATTGTTGTTCAATGCGATTAGAAGATTTTGCATTTTGTCATCATCAATACTAAACAGAACTGTCATTCATGCATCCTAGGTCACATCTGAAGTGATGATCATAGCTTAGCATCAGAAACTTGAGCTTCATAAATGAGTTAATACAAGATTAATGATGGAATGCACAAACAACTTACTGACTGCCATGAGTATTTATCATTTCGTTCAGGTACTAATGAATAATGCCTAGACGAAGAATTCGTATATTTACCATTATCATCCATAAATTTAGAGCTAAAATACAATAAAATCAATAAGATATTTAGGAAATGGAATTGACATAAGACAAATAAAGAAAGATACTTCGTTTTAAGCACTTTTTCACCATAGCACTTTATTTTAATTTTAGTAACACAAATTTAGCACAATATTCATATCAAAAGTTGCACAGTTCAAAAGTAAAAAATATATATATGGATGAAAAACTAAAGAAATATACCAAAACTTCGATATTTACACTGATTCTTATAAAGATTGTTTAACCACTATGTAACTTATTGATTCCTCCTTTTCGTATGATGGTGTGAATTGCAACAATCTAGATTGATTTGAGCACTTGTATCAGAGATCTCAACCTATTCTGACTAATAAATCAAATGACTGAGAGGTATTTATCCAATATCAGACATTTTATGAAAGGTTCCATTGCATTTTTTCAACTGTTTAGAAGGATAAAATAGTGATCATATGGCAAAAATGTTTTTGGCACTGATTTCTAATCGGTACCAACAACGCTTTAAATCAATTACAGATGAATTATTTCAGAAAACACCAACACTACCATCCACCTATCTATCTCCATTCCATTCATCACTCGATCACATATCATATCATCGTGTTCATCTATAAATAACCACTCTACGCAGTGATTTTAACAATTGAAATTCTGCCTCATTAATTGTTAAAAGCCTCTTCCATAACACTATATTCTTATGAAAATTTCAAGCCTAGTAATGATGATACACTGTGTTTCGATGATATCTCCACATCTAGTAACTCTGATGTACCACAATTAATAAACACTTTTTCCGCTTCTGTTTTAGCTCTGGACACCGCAAAAACAAAATAGTCAAACATCGGAAGAAGAAACAAGATGGAAACGCAATTCAAGTGTCATCAGGAAGCATAGTAAAGATATTTCAGCAATAATCAGAAGAAAGATGCTCACGTTTTCTGGTATTTACCTCTGCTGAAAATTATAAATGGATTTGACATACACATCGCATAAAAAGGAACTGCACAAAAAATCCATGGACTGTTTTCGTAGGCAGAGGAATCGCATTTACGATTGGGATGGATATACTCTCGAACAACAGTTCAATATCGATCAGCCACTTTGGCGTTCACAATCCCATGAAGCCCTGTAAAAAGCAACCTTATAAAATTGCTCGACTTCCTTCGCTGAGGCTGATTTCTGCTTATTCCTACTGTTGTGTGTCAAAACCAAGAAAAGTTAAACAGTGCTGCTGAACCGGATGAAAGACTCAGCAGACGCCCAATTTCGAGATCAACAAGCTAGATTCCGTAAGGGTTCGTCGTGTAGACCAAATCGCGACACTATGGATCATCGTCGAACAATCAGTTGAGTGGGACTCGTCACTATACATCAACTTCATTGACTATGAGGCGTTTGACAGTATGGATAGGGGAATATTATGGAAACGTCTTCGGTGCTATGCAGTACCTGAGAAAATCGTCGACATCATACAGAATTCATACGATGGATTACATTTCAAAGTCGTGCATGAAGGACAGTTGACAGATGCATTCCAAATAAAGACCGGAGTGAGACAAGTCTGCCGACTCTCCTTCCTCTTTCTTCTGGTGGTCGAGTGGATTATGAAGACCTCCACATATGAGAAAAAGCATGCAATACAATGGACAGCTCACAATCAATCAGAAGATTTGGACTTCGCAGATGACCTGGCCCCTCTCTATCTCATACACACAAACAAATGCAGATGAAGACAACTAATGTAGCATCAGCATCTGCATCAGTAGGCCTCACCATACACAAAGGAAAAAGCAAGATCCTCAAATACAGCACAGCGAGCACCAGCCCAACCACATTTGGTGGAGAAGCTCTGCAAGATGTGGAATCTTTCACGTACCTGGGAAGCATCATTGATGAACAAGGAGGATCCGATGCAGACGTAAAGGCGAGGATTGGTAAAGCAAGGGCCGCATTCCTACAATTGAAGAACATATGGAACTCAAAACAACTGTCAACCAATATCAAGGTCAGAATCTTCAATACGAAAGTCAAGACAGTCCTACTGTACGGAGCTGAAACGTGAAGAACTACTACAACCATCACCAAAGAAGCACAAGTATTTATAAACAAATGTCTACCCATGATACTCAATGTCCTCCTCAGCAACAGCCTACTGTGTGAGAGAACAAACCAGCTTCCAGATGAAGAGAAAATTAGAAAAAGGTTAGGATATACATTACGGAAATCAGCAAACTGCATCACGAAGCAAGCGCTAACTTGGAATCCTGAAGGGAAACAGAAAAGAGGAAGGCCGAAGAATACACTGCGTCGAGAATCGGAAGCAGACATGAAAAGGATGAACAGCAACTGGATAGGATTGCCCAGGACAAGGTTGAATGGGCGACCTATGCTCCTCCACTAGGGGTAACAGGCGTAAGTTACTGTTGTGACTAATTATGAGGCAGACGAACTTTGCATAAGGTTCCTGATTCTTACAAAAATGAGAATCATGAATCTCAGAATGGCAAAAAGTTGCTCAATCATATTCTATGAAACCGTCCTTTGGTCCTTCCAGTGACGGAAATGCCACAAGAAACGGCATAATCAGGAACAAAATTTGTGTGAATGTGACCATGTTAAAAATTGGATCTACACTAACACTGGCTCGATTATTATAGATCATTATTAGGAAAAAAGGTAATTATCCCACAACTAGGTGGTATTTTAACTCCGCCTGTAGCTCTTCTAGAGTTACTGCCGGTCCCAAGCCCGGGTAAAGGAGGAGGGTTGGGGATGGGGTTAGCGTCCCCATCCCGTAGAAAACTAACTCGCTAAAAAAACGCTTACCAGAAAAAATAATTCAAACCATTTTAACTCTGCCCTGAGAGTTAGAAGGTCTTCATTTAGAAGAATTATGACGCTTCATGGTGAAAGCCGAGTTCCTTCGGAAGCCACGAGGCCGATGCCCCTTCTAACAACCAGAGCAAAAATTTTTATAGGTACATGGAACGTCCGAACAATGTGGGAAACCGGGAAGACCAGTCAAATAGCAATGGAAATGAGGAGATACAACTTAGCAGTACTGGGGATCAGCGAAACTCACTGGACCCAAGCTGGACAGAAAAGGCTAGCTACGGGAGAGATGCTGCTATACTCCGGTCACGAAGAGGAAAATGCTCCACACACTCAGGGAGTTGCTCTAATGCTGTCCAAAGTAGCACGAAATGCACTTGTAGGATGGGAATCCCACGGATCCAGAATCATCAAAGCATCATTCAAAACAAAGAAGGAGGGGATCTTAATGAATATTATCCAATGTTATGCACCCACCAATGATAGCAACGACGACATTAAAGATCAGTTCTACGAGCGGCTGCAGTCAGTCATTGAGAAACGCCCAAGAAAGGACCTCACCATTCTAATGGGAGATCTAAATGCCAAAGTCGGAATAGACAACATCGGATATGAAGATATTATGGGGCAACATGGACTGGGAGAGAGGAACGAAAATGGAGAAAGATTTGCAAATTTGTGTGCATTCAACAAATTAGTCATAGGAGGCACAATATTTCCACACAAGCGTATACACAAGGCTACATGGATCTCACCGGACCACACTACAGAGAACCAGATAGACCATATTTGCATCAACAAAAAATTCCGAAGGACAATGGAAGATGTGAGAACCAGGAGAGGAGCTGACGTAGCTTCAGATCACCACCTAGTTGTAGCCAATTTGAAACTGAAGCTAAAAAAGAACTGGACAAGTGGACAAACAGCAATACAAAGGTTCAATACAGCCTTCCTTCGAGATACTGTCAAACTCAATGAATTCAAGATAGCTCTCAACAACAGGTTCCAAGCCTTACAAGATCTACTGAAAGAAGAAGAAACTACTATGGAGGACAACTGGAAAAGCATCAAGGAAGCATTAACTTCAACGTGTCAAGAGGTTCTCGGTCTAAAGAAATACCATCATAAGGAATGGATCTCTACAGAAACACTGCACAAGATCAAAGAAAGGAAGAACAAGAAGGCAGCAATAAACAACAGCCGAACACGAGCAGAGAAAGTCCAAGCACAAGCTGAATACATAGAAGCAAACAAGCAAGTGAAGAGGAGCATTAGAGCTGACAAGAAGAAATACGTGGAAGAATTAGCAACGACGGCAGAAAAAGCTGCTAGAGAAGGAAATATGAGACAACTTTACGATACAACGAAGAAACTAGCAGGGAAATACAATAAACCAGAGAGGCCGGTCAAAGACAAGGAAGGCAAGCCAATCACTGAAATTCAACAACAGCGTAACAGATGGGTAGAATACTTTGAGGAACTCCTGAATAGGCCGGCTCCTATGAATCCACTGAACATCGAAGCAGCACACACAGATCTTCCTATAGATGTCAACCCACCAACGACGGAAGAAATTAGAGCGGCCGTCAGACAAATCAAGAACGGGAAAGCAGCAGGACCCGACAACATACCAGCTGAAGCACTGAAATCAGACGTCGAAGTAACCACAAGCATGCTTTACCCTCTATTCAAAAAGATTTGGGAGGAGGAACAAGTGCCAATGGACTGGAAAGAAGGGCACCTCGTCAAGATTCCAAAGAAAGGAGATCTGAGCAAATGTGAAAACTACAGAGGCATAACACTACTGTCAATACCAGGGGAGGTCTTCAACAGAGTTTTGCTGAACCGGATGAAGGATGCAGTAGACGCTCAACTTCGAGATCAACAAGCTGGATTCCGTAAGGATCGGTCGTGCACAGACCAAATTGCAACACTACGGATCATCGTCGAACAATCGGTTGAGTGGAACTCGTCACTATACATCAACTTCATTGATTATGAAAAGGCATTTGACAGTATAGATAGGAGGACATTATGGAAACTTCTTCGACACTACGGAATTCCTGAGAAGATTGTCAATATTATCCGGAACTCATACGACGGACTACAGTGCAAGGTCGTGCATGGAGGACAGCTGACGGATGCATTCCAAGTAAGGACCGGGGTCAGACAAGGCTGTTTACTCTCTCCCTTTCTCTTTCTTCTGGTGGTCGACTGGATTATGAAGACCTCGACATCTGAAGGAAAACACGGAATACAATGGACAGCTCAGAACCAATTAGACGATCTGGACTTCGCAGATGACCTAGCTCTTATATCACGTACACACGAACAGATGCAGATGAAGACAGCCAGTGTAGCAGCAGTCTCTGCATCAGTAGGCCTCAGTATACACAAAGGGAAAACGAAGGTCCTCAAATTCAAAGCGGAAAACAGCAATCCAATCACTCTTGATGGCGAAACTCTGGAAGATGTAGAATCCTTCACATACCTGGGAAGCATCGTCGATGGACAAGGAGGTTCAGATGCAGACGTAAAGGCGAGGATTGGCAAAGCAAGGGCCGCATTCCTACAATTGAAGAACATATGGAATTCAAAACAACTTTCAACCAATATCAAAGTGAGAATCTTCAATACGAACGTCAAGGCAGTTCTACTGTATGGAGCTGAAACTTGGAGAACTACAACAACCACAATCAAGAAAGTACAAGTATTTATAAATAGCTGTCTGCGCAAGATACTCAACATCCATTGGCCAGATACCATCAGCAATAGCCTTCTGTGGGAGAGAACAAACCAACTTCCAGCTGAAGAGGAAATTAGGAGAAAACGATGGAAATGGATAGGACATACATTACGCAAATCGTCAAACTGTATCACGAGACAAGCCCTAACTTGGAATCCTGAAGGGAAGCGGAAAAGAGGAAGGCCAAAGAACACATTACGTCGGATAATAGAAGCAGATATGAAAAGGATGAATTACAACTGGAAGGAGCTGGAAAGGATTGCCCAGGACAGGGTTGGATGGAGAATGCTGGTGAGTGGCCTATGCTCCTTCACGAGGAGTAACAGGCGTAAGTAAGTAAGTAAGTAAGGTGGTATTTTATTATCCGTGTCAAGACAAACATAACTAATGATATCATTTTTAAAACTTAGTATAATTAAACGATAAATGTTAGCGTTGCATAGGAAGAAGTTATGAAAGTTTTGATTAATAGTGAGTTGAGTTTGAATATTAAATTGAAGCTAGTGTGGTAATAATATTGTTCTTAGGTCTCACAAGTAAAAAGCAAAACTAGTCTCACCAACACATTGTATGTATCTGACCTTTTGCAGCTGGATTTGTCGTTACAATGCTAAAAAGGACACAGACTATTATAAGACGTCAATTTTCAGTATAGATAGGTCGATTTTATCTATGCTACTGTCAACAATCGACATCAAATTTAATTGTCAAGTCTAATAAAATGAGAAAAAGGTAGGTTACGTGTGAATCCTTAAACGAAATTACTAAAAAGACACGTGGAATGCGTAGGATTGAAACCTATCATAGACCTGATAGAGAAAAAAACACCTCCAAACTTCATTCAAAACATTTCTTCGATACAAAAATCAAAGACGAATTTTTCGACTAAACACGAAATACCATGATGTTACGCTGATAATAGGAAAGACTGCAAAACATTTATTATTACGGAATTACGAAAATTTATGCAACAAGATACCGAGAACTATTCAGTCTCTAAGTTGACTAACAAAACTAAACACTAACTAATAAGCATTATTCGATTCACAACCGGAGCATATAGTAATACAAACTGAACAACTATCGTGTGCTTAAACAAAGTGTAAACATAGCAATTACAGTGATTGAAAATTGACATACTCAGCCCAATCTGGAACTTTATCATAACGTGCATTGGCAGAAGTTGTTGTTGTCTTCGTTGCTGGTGTTTTAGATGAATCATGCTCCTCGGATAAGTTTGTATCCCTTAACCAGGATTCCAAATCTGAACGGCAACTGGTCATTTTGTTTGATCCAGGATAATAGTCAGGGGTTTGATAATCATTATGATTATGAAAGTTTCGTTTATCTGAGGATAAAGATGGTAGATCACCGGTTGTTTTTACATGACTTATACTGGTAGGTTTATTATTACGTATATTAGCGGCGTCTTCGTCCCAATCCTCACCAGACGCTTCAGTTGCAATCTGTAACAATAAAAAAATGACCAAAGCAGATTAGTGTGCTCACGTGTGCTCCATGCTGAGTCACACTTAACAGATAAGGGTAAGAGATCACACTATGCTGCACAAACTAAAAGTAGGTGGAACATAACTGAGATTCGTAACCCAATGGATTAAAATCGTTTCTGGATCCCTGAGTTACATATCCAAGAAATAAACATAAATAGGTACGGAATGAGCGTGTTATTTTTTAGAAAAAGACCTTTTCTACCAGTCAGCTGTCTTATAATCGAATGTGAGTCCATTTAAAGGCTTGCTTAAGCAATCTTGTCACGTGAGCAGTTATCACTTGGACATATTGTATTATTGCATACTATCAGGCGATTGGTACATTTTATCCATTAATCAGACGACTGCTAAAGGTCTATTAATTATAAATCACAAAAGGCTAAGTTAAGTTGTGATGTTTAAACCCGTAAAATTATTCTTAAATAGTCGGACGAAAGATGCTAACATTATTTTCAACTTCGCATTAATTGAACTTAAATTTCTTGACAGTCTACACAGAAATTTTATGGGGAAATATAGGTAAAAGAATATTTCCAGACTTTTCAAGCTTAATTTTCCAAATTAGCCCACAGTTGACAAGTGTACTGTTAAAATTCCAGTTAAATCTACCATCCAACAATAATTGACAAGATTTGTAGCCCTGAACGAGGATTTTGGGAGTTATGTGTTATCTGACCTGGGTGGTTTAATCGTGAAGTTTTTATTGTCTTTCCAGACATCATTATCACATACTTGAAGAAGAAGTGAGCTACTAGCTGTTTAGTTTTCAATAATGAAAAGCAACTAAAAACAACGGAACACATAAAGTTAAGGTATCAACAAATTATTCGTGGAAAATACATTTCCACCCAATATCTGTATGAATGCTATCTTGTAAGACAAAAAGGTTTTAGTAAATTTAAATTATAAATACAAAACACTTCCAAGATCACATTTATTGAATGACAAATCTTTATCACCTTCAATCGTGGTGATTGAGATGCTTTATTTGAAGTCCAAATTTACTTGAACTTCATGTTGTGCAGAAGTCTTCACAACCGACTTAACAAACAAAGTGTAAAAGATATTCCTAATATCAATAAGTACTGACCAAATATTTCTAGATTAATTTACAAGGACAATTCCGTGTCTTAAGAATGTTAGTAAGCAGTGGAATTAAATGAATTAATCTATAACGCTGAGAAATTAGTGGACAGTTATTTTAATCAAATTTCATTATCTATAACATAGCAACAAGTCAACGATGTACATATATGGTGGGTTGTACGTCATTCGTTCCGTTATGGTCAATGTAGAACCTGTCACAAACGAACCTCAGCACAAATTACTATATCAAATCACCATAACAAGTGATTAGCGAAACGAATATCAAAGGAATCAAAATAACAGCAGTATCAATGATAATATACAGGTCTTAACATAAAGAATATGAGTCAGAAAGAAAGTGGAAAATACTAAAAATTATAGAATACTATCAAAGCCCAAGAATCAGAGAAACGTGAAAAATAAATGCATTTGAGCTACTGTGATCAGATTTAAAGCCATTTCATCCAGGATCTACAAACACCGACCACGATTATTGCATAGAATTTGACCTGGTAGCCTACACATACCAATATGACTCCGACAAAAAATTCAAAAACTTTATAGGCTAATGTTACATCTTGATGTGGCTGCTTCCAACTTTTAATATACTCCTACCCTAATTATCACTGAGCGTCAAGGTAGGTGGTGGTTAGTTATACGCAACACAATTCGCTGTAATCCGCTATTATTGGGCAAGAACGTAAATCTGAAACTTGTGATTTAAGCACCAAACGTACAGCCAGAGGTACAAAACAGAATCTTGCTCTACCAGTTGTTTGGGAGAAGAGATATTATATTAACTCCTACACAAGTCCAACAAACAACCCACTGGAGGACCACAGTGGATTAAATGAATTTAATTATAATGTAATTACTGAGTAATGAATACCTTGGTCACTGGTTAACCAAGATAATGACTATACTGTACTAACCTTATCTCTCAACAAAGCAGCAGCTTTACTATTATACTTTTCTTGAAAACTCCACTGAGGTCTGTAATCAGGTTGTGAAACGAAAAACTCCTTAGCATGTCTGTTGCCTCCAACTTTCATTTTTTCCAACTCCAACTCCTTCCATTTATCCATGTTAATTGAGCGAACAAAACTGATTATGAGAATAATACAAAAATAAAACTACATTAGACATTACTTAACATGTTAAAGAAAGACCAAAAAATATTTCTTCAATAACGATACAAACTAATTTCTACCAGTTTTTTTTGATCTCGTAGAACCACTATTAACTGGTTTCAAAAAATGTACCTCAAGAAATCCGCATGCAGAGACTAATAGACCTGGCAATTACGAAGGTTGTTGTGAAACCGTAAGACAACTATCTCATTATTTTAACACTGTGATAATTAACCAGTTCTCACAGAGACAACGATAGAAAACCAGAGCAAAGGTTTTAGAATAACCGAACAATACTTATTACGAAACGCCTTACCTCAAATGAACTCCCAATCCACGATGTTTTCCTGAACACTCTAAACATATCCAAATACCATATGTAACGCTAGCCCATTGAGGATTTGGCGACCCACATTCGAAACATAACTACAAATGAAAATAAATACTGATTATAAAACCTCTGGTTTAATAGGGTATATCTTGAAATCATGACTGTCCAGTACTCATTTTTTTGAGACCTGGATGCAAGCAATACAACTGTGAATATACTTAAATGTTTACATTCGGAAATAAAGCTGATAGCCGACATTAGGCATCTTTAAAGAATTTATGCAGCAATATAATATCTCATACGACTACAGCTTGGTGAACATTAATAGGTAGCAAGTACTACTACATCCCCAGAGTAAGGTTTGAAAATCAGCGAAACCCCAAGGTAGAAATATTGCTGTTAAATATTTTACAGACATGACACATTTTATTGTGAACCATTTTCCTGACGGGATGATCAACTTGAAAGGACAGTTGGAAAAGTGTACTTGACTAGTTTATATATATATATATATATATATATATATATATATATAATTCAGACCACTGCAGAGTAGTAGTCGATCCCAAGACTGACTTAATTCGAGGTATGCATTACTTCTGATTGTCATCGACTGACCTCGTTACTAAATACAAGTGAATTGTGTGCGCTTGCCGGGTCGTCAACTTACCTTTTCTTTTGTTCTTCTCTTTCCCAGCCCTCCTCACTTACGCTACTCTAGTACATAAAGTACTCTCTGGCTATACGCAGATCGCTACACTAGAAGTTCAGTAAGGTTTTCTGATTTCAGTCTTCAGTAATAAGGATAACAGGTTGGTCAACTTGTGTTAATCCTTACAGTTTGCTTTCCAGTGAAGGTCCAGCTTCTTCTCCATAGATCTAGTTCACCTCTTTGTGGCCGATCAGATATGGGTTAGTGTAAGGTACAGGGTACAACGTTCAAAAATAGAATAAAATATTGTTCTCCACCTCATTAGCTTAATGTCGATCATTTGGCCGCACTGGAAATGAGACACGGATACTAAGTCAGCAAGAAAAAAATGGAAACGACAGTCATTCATCCACATAAAGGCAAACAATGACATACATGGTTCGCATTTGTTTTCTTGACATCCATTAGCACTCGCCGTGTCCTTGGGCTAGCCATCCTAAATTTCTGAAGACGTCGAGCACACTCGACAAGAGCGCGCGTTTCGGAAGGCCGAGAATATTCAATGATTTATATTACAAGCTCTGAGGACAGAACACCGGAGGCCATCATCAATCTTTCTCTTACACGCCTTACTTCATATCTCTTGGATTATACTATTGAATCTACACATTAACACGTAAATTTAGGAGCTTTAATAACCATTTATAACGATTCAATACCATATCCCTTTGTTTGATATTTTATATGTAATCACACTGTAAGTGGCAAATAAATCCTTATGCATGTACGAGTGTATTTCGACATACACTTATGGCTTCTTTTTTTCTTTTTCGCGACGGCTGGAAATATGAAAAACTAATGAAGATTACGATGAGTAGAAACTTTTGTAGTGACTCACGCTTATCACGAGAACATGACTGGTTTAATAAAAACAATTGTTATTATAACCAACTGTACCAGTGTTTGTTTTAATGTGCTTTTGTTCAACTGTGCTAATTATAGCCATTTTGTGCTTCCATTACCTTCCATCATTGTTCCGCGGTTTTTGGTACTGTTCGCACGTACTCCTGTCTTCTGCTTCCACTTGTACCATTCCTTGGCACGATCTCGGTATTCGTTCAATACCACGAGATCGCCAACGAAATAAATCTGGTTACGTTCGATCTTCGCCTTCTGATTTATCTGGCACGTGTTTCTTGGTAGCGGTGTTCATAGTTAATCTCAACTCGACGCCACGCTACACTTTCATTGCATTTTATTTCATTGCTATGTTGTACCATATGACTCCTTACGTTGGGGACAGACAACCAGATGCTGCCAAACATAGCAAGCCGTTAGTGGCAAACTTATTGGTCTAAAACTTCTGGCTGGCCATGTTTAAGGGTAATCGCTACTCCACCAGGTGGGAGTTAGCTGAAGCAGGAGATAAATCACTCGATTCAATGGTTCTGTAGGACTTCGACACTTGATGCTGACCTCATAAGTTTTAACTAACACGTCTAGCTGAAGGGGCTCGGTCACACATCTGCGCTAGATCACGAATGGGTGCGCCGTGCTACACATCTCATATAACCGTTAGCCAGTTTATATTAAACGCTCCTCGATATATCGACAGCCTTTCAAACATATCTTCGAACCTCTTAACTTCTGACTCGAGATTTGACTGGGTTGACAGGCGTTGATTATAAAGGTGTTGGGTGTAAAGGCTTAGTCAAGCTCGGAATACCTGTGGCATATTTAGATTAGTCAGGCAATAAGTTCAAGGACATTAATGCATTTCGGATAAAAATTTATGACTGACTACATACGGACTCTGAACCTTTGACTAATGAAATGGTTAGGTTTCATGAATCAAATAATGCAGAAAACGCATAACTAAAGTAGAAGCAGGTGTTTGGGTGTCTCAAGTTATGAACCGAAGGTCATTAAAATCAGGCGTGTATATATGTCCCAACGTCAAGAAAAAAGCTACATACACATACTTTCTTATTTAGAAGCACACCAAATGCATATTCGATAGTGTGCTACTCTTGAAGTATCCCTATAGTGCTCAGCGAGATTACCTAGCAATACAAGGTGTCTGGTTGTAGTTTCATGTAGAAGGCCTACTGACAACATTCAGTGCAATACTCGGACACTGGAAGTATCACTCTACGACGCGCTCACATATTAACCATGGGAGACTCCATTACCCTCAATGTCAACAGTGAAGAGGATGACTTTACTAAAACTCATTTTACTTTGGCCCCGTCAGAGAGCTATGGTTGCTCTGAAATGTCACTCAGCAACTCCATGGCGAAACAACCAAACCCGCCAGATCTAACTGGCGTCTTCATTGACGAACAGTTACCGACCGATAACCTCTCAGTCCTAACTTCCTTAGGAAATGATGAAAACGACTTCCTAGTTCTTTATTTATCAAACTGGAGTAACGTATCCTGCTGATGACAGGATTTGAAAATTCAAAATTTCGGATGTCGCAGCCATGATGGATAATCTGTAAAATCGATGAAATTTTATAACCCTTGCCAAATCATCCAGCAGTCAGGTCATTGGATATCATACACCTTACCGATCCTCTCCAAAGTCAATAACAACCAGTGCACTTCAACTAATTGCATCTCATGGACTCCTCCACGTGCTGTTAGTCTCACTGTGCTCCCTGAACCTCTTCTTACTAATGTGTCATTGTAATATCATCGTCTGCGTTGTACGGTCATCAAATTGGTCATAGTACCTTAATACGACGCAAGCGTCGTCCACATTAGGTAGTACGTGTGGGGTGTGACTTTAACGTGAGCTGAACGGTCACGTCATTCCCGTCTGGCTCCATTAGGTCTCCAGCCATTCGACGAAGCTCACGCACGGTGGTAATCTACAAGTTCGCAATTGATGAAGCCGAATTACCACCGCAGACGATTCTATGTGCTGCTGCAAATCGGTCTGCCTCGAAATTGATCACCATAAGCTCCAAGCAGCCCAAAGTCATACAGAATCAAACGCTATGAGTGGTAAGATACCAGTGAAAGTAATTCAGACGAATTAGCAAAAAGTAGATATATGCAGTTATAACGAGTCAGGGCCATTTCCACAGAGTCCCCAAATGAAAATATGTGCCAGTACCAGATTTGGCTGATTAACAAGTTTTTATCTTGTCCGAAATGTTCGTTTTTTCATATAGCCTCATTTCCTTAATTCGAAGTCAAGGTTGCCCAGTCGTCCTCGCAGCTCAACCAATTACTTGAAGGATCCTGAAAGAACAGTACTTTCAAACATCCCAGTCGTCCTGAAATTAAAATCAGTGATGGGATGTTCTGAAGCTCGATAACAATTTGGAAATTGTGCCTAAATTTGGAATTAGTGCACCACGATGTGAGACATTTAAACAGAAACACATCACATTAACCGGAGATGACTCACTCCACTATGCTTAGAGAAGCGACCTCATTTGAGGCAACACCCCTTGGTTTGTTATCCTTACGTTCCCTAAATCATTGTCATGTCCTAGACGAGTTAAAATGGGGCACATCACCCTGATCAATGGAGAAGTTCAACACGTTAATCTATTATTGTAGTAGCAAAGACAAATGTACTGATATCGCGCTAGGTCATAATTCTACAAATATTCACAGTGTATCCAAAGGTAGGTCACGAAATCATATCGTCAAATTGAGTTCAAGTCTTACGAGAAGCCCCTTAAATTACTGGATTTATACAGTTTAGAGAACAGTAAACTTAGAAACTACTTTTTAATGGCACACAGAATCCTGAGAGCTCTTTATCATCCTCTAAAATACCTGATTAGTTGGCTAAAATTACACAAGAGACGTTTTTAAATTCTCGCCCGCCACATTAGACAAAATACATGCAGCGTGGCGTCGAGTTGAGATTAACTATGAACACCGCTACCAAGAAACACGTGCCAGATAAATCAGAAGGCGAAGATCGAACGTAACCAGATTTATTTCGTTGGCGATCTCGTGGTATTGAACGAATACCGAGATCGTGCCAAGGAATGGTACAAGTGGAAGCAGAAAACAGGAGTACGTGCGAACAGTACCAAAAACCGCGGAACAATGATGGAAGGTAATGGAAGCACAAAATGGCTATAATTAGCACAGTTGAACAAAAGCACATTAAAACAAACACTGGTACAGTTGGTTATAATAACAATTGTTTTTATTAAACCAGTCATGTTCTCGTGATAAGCGTGAGTCACTACACACATATTCTAGAGCAAATGGTGGCACCCAGGACATTTCACATTCCCAATAAGACATTGTGCGAACTAGTTCTCTCTTTACCGTTTCACTTCGTCTATAATTTAACAATTAATTTTTCGAACGACCCAATTAGTCTATTTACACTACATTTACCTAGTTTTTTAACACGTTGTTGGTTTTTCATCGTAGAGTGTTTACTTGGCCTAACATTTTCAAGCTTTGATAGTCGTGAAACATTTATTTATTGTCTAAAAATTGCCCTTGATTTTTATTGCTGAATTTCAAGTTACTGTTTTGATTGACTATGGTTCCAACAATAAAGCTTGCTAACGCGTGTTAAAAAGGATTCTTTCATACATTTTTTATGGCCAGATCTTTGTTTCTGTTTTCTCTTCGGTTTATGGGCGCTATCCGCGCTGGAAACAAAACTTTTAAGGACCTTTACTTCCTTTGGTCTCATTTAAGTAACCATTTCAACCTGTTTGAATGTTATTATTTAACCGTGGGATGCATTTGTGATCTCAGTTTATTATAAAATCGATATTCGACTAGACACCATAGGTAAGTAAATAAACATATCCATCAACCTATTGCAGACTGATCTGGAATCACCAGAGTCTGTAGAATCTTAGTATTTTGTAATAAGCAGTACCGTGTTATATAAACCCAGTTCTCAAGTTCAGTTCTAACACAAAGCTTAGGGAAAATACTCAAAAATTCCAGATACAACACGGTTAACTGATCTGTAGGCTCACCTAGTTCTTACGAATATGCGCATTGGTTGTCCTCGTGCTCGACACGGATCCGCGAACTGTTCGACGTTCCCTGATGCGACTCCTGAATTATTTGGCCAAAGACCAGAGACATTTCCCTGACCCTAAAAGTTTGTTTAGGAAAGAGTTATCAGCTTCACATTCTGGACTACACTATATCATAACCAATTCAATGTCTTTCCCTTTGTATTTCAGCCAGCAACACACTAGTTCACCTGTCCCTAAGTCGTATATTCTTGTCTACAGCTCGTACGGTTAAGGTGCTCTTCGTGTTGGGGATAACCAAAACTTTTATGGTTTAGTCCGTCAGCCCGACAAACTAAAGCCCCAAGCAATTGAATTTCGCTACCATACACTTATGAATTTAACCACGTTTCTGAGATAGCAGCGACATCAGAGTTTTCTGTTTCTGTCACTCCTTAGTAGGCTGCGAGCATTGGTATAATACACCTTTAACTGGGTGAAATAATTTGCCGTCCCACCCGGTCAGTTCGGGATTGTTTTGTCCCGAACTTATACAGTGTGTAAACTCCTAGGCATAAGGTTTTTCACCAGTCC